ACACACACACACACACATATATATATATATATATATATAATGAAAACAAAGCTGCAGTCTACATATAAAATGCAGGTACATATAAAAATAGAGAACGTCCATGAGAACACAGATTAACAGTGTGACGTGTCCCATACAGAAGCTAATTATTGAAGGATTATCAATCAAAGCACAGGCATCATCATAAGACAATAAAAGTGATCATTCCAGTCCCAAACACCATTGGTTTGGATAACTCTGTTCCTCAAGGCAAATATCATGCCAACCTTTCCCTCAGCCATTATAATGGCGTATAAAAGTCGGCCTATTTAAACGAAGCTATTTCTTCCTCATAAAAACGAATCCTCTAATAAAGGTAAACCTTAAATCAATACACTGTCCAGCACTTCACAAATCATGCTTTAGGGATGGTCAGCCTACTCTCTGAGGAAAAAAGGTAAAAAACACAAATCAAATATATATTACATTAAAAAAATCTAAATAAAATGAATAAATAAAAATACAAACACATTATATAGTGTCAAAATTGAATGCAAAATCTGCATTTAAATGTTTTCTACAAACTGTAGCAAGGTGAAATCAGTTCCAAATATCAGTAAAATAGGAACTGGCATAAATGTGGACTTTAATTCAAAACACTTTATTTCACACATGGGATCAGATGGTTCATTTACTGTCTTCTCATAGCAGGAACGTCCAGAAACAAAGCTGAGACCCGTGTTTGATTACTTTGTTTTCTTTGTACATGTGAATGTTGCTGTGTTTTTGATCCTGACCTGGAAATCTTGTCGGTGCATGACATGGTGATGAGACGTTCTCCTTGAAGGACTCCGTCCCACGTCTGAAAGGGTCCTGTGGACTTCAAGGGCAGCGTACCCTCCCCTGATTCAATCTTTGTCCGTAGGTGGCTGTGAAACTTCTTCACCAAGTGTCTGTTGCTGTGCACTGTGAAAAATTCAAAAGGTGTTGGCATCATTTATTCAAAAATACACTTCAAATAAAAATAAAAAACTCAACTTTTGTCTTAAAAGACACTCATGACTGTGTGTCAAGGTCGACAAGTCTCTTAAAAGATCAGATAATTTGACTTTTTTTCCTGACGAGGCAAAGGTAGTTCAGAGTCAGACTGTAAAATATTGCGTGGTTCAATCCTCCAAAAAAATAGCTGTAACTGCATATATCAATACATTTTAATGATTTTTTTTTCAACTTCCGCCTAAATGTAATGCATTTTAAAATAATATTTACCTTGCTAAGGAATTTCTAAGATTTATATGGATTCAAACATTTGCCATATCTGTAAAGATTATTCATTAAATTCATTAAATGTATTTTTTTATTTATTTTAACTTGGTTAATCCATTAGGATTAAGATATATAATTGGAAAATATAATGTATATATATCTGTACCCCCAATTTAACAGTTAAACAGTTGAATAGTTCACCCAATTTAAATGTATTTAGATAGAGGACGTGTATTTTGGCCAGAAGCAGTGGTGTGAAATTAAAAACATCTTAATGATGAATTTGTTTCTTACAAACACAAAGCTTTTGACTTCACAAGATGTTAACTGATGGACTGGAGTGGTGTGGATTATTGTGATGTTTTTATCAGCTGTTTGGACTCTCATTCTGACGGCACCCATCCACTGCAGAGCATCCACTGGTGAGCAAGTGATGTAATGCTACATTTCCAAATCTAAAAACAAACTCATCTATATTTTGGATGGATTGAGGGTGAGTATTAAACTATTACTTTAATGTTATTAAAAAGGAGGCCTGAAAATGACGAAAAGTTACAGTATAAAGCTAAGTTATATGATTTGTTTAACCATAATGGTTCTGTTTAATTCCTCATCTATGAATATATGACTTAGTACCATATGATTTATATTTTCCACATATTTTAGCCTACAATGTTCGGTTAAAGTTTAAATGCAACAAAAAACTGAATGAATGAATAAATACATTCTCCTTAAAATGGAATAAGTTTGGATTAAGTTTTAAAACCCCCAGAAACCAAAGAACTTGACACATATAGTACGTAACATCTGGACACTTCAAAAAGTCTGTATTAGATACAGAAGCGAGCAGAAGAGATGATACAGACAAGCGAAGAATCTTACAATCGGAGGTGATTTCATACGGCGAGTTGACACGGCCGTCCCCGCAGGGCGACGTACTGATGTACATGTGGAAGAGGACGTTCTCTCGGAGTCTCAAACAGGAATCTTTGTGCCGTACGAAGATCGATTGCTCCCAGTCCTCTTTCCTTTTGCTTCAGAGTGATCACAGACCGCAGGCGGGAAGAGAGAACAGAAAAGGGAGACATGAGAAACGACCATGTCTGAAAGTGTTCGGCGCTCACATCCCGGGCTAATAATGGGCCGAGGACACAAAGGAGACAAATATTGGCCTTGCCGTGACCAAGGCTAGTTCCGTCACTGTCACATTCCCCTCTCGCGCGCTCTCTCTCTCTCTGGTACACAATCTCAAATCATTACTCTGTCAGAACAAGGCGAATACAAATGACCGAGACAACAGCGAGCTGTAATTCTTTAACCCAGATGATCTGTAGCTAGTCAGCTGTAGGGAGGACACGGCGTTTCCTGCAGAGCCGTCCCACTTTTACACATATCATCATAATTAGCACTAACGCCTCACTGTGACATCTTACAAAGGACGTTTCGGAATAGTGCACGAGGTGAATTGCGCACGGGGAGCGCATTACATACGCAAACATCATCGTCGCTAATTGGCACCTAAGCTGTGCTAATTAGGCAAACGACCTGCGATGTCAAGGGTGGAGTCGTGCTGCTCCAGATCTGTCTACTGAGGAAGGTGCTGTGGTATTTTATTTGCCGAACGTAATGACTTATCTTCCAAACTAGACTCCAGACTGAGTCAAACAGGCCCATTTAGTGGTAGATAATGCACTCTGGGAAGACGCATATGCAAATTTGACATTACAGGAGGCTTTTCTATACAGCAATCTGCTACATCGAGGAAGACATTTAGAGTCTTTGCTGCCGCACAATGATACCTCCAACACCAGACCAGACTCAAATGACAGTGTGTTTTCTCTAAGAATGAAGAATGAACACTTTGGAACGTACATCTAAGTCCTCTGTTGGGTGCGAAATGTGCTTCTCTGAGAAGATGTGTTGTTTGCGTAAAGCTCTAAGGGAGTTTTTCAGGTTCAATATGTGTTAAGCTCTCTTGACAACCTCTGTGACATGCTGTTGATTAGCGCAGAAAATAATTTCGACTTAAAGGGAAAATTGATCTTATCTTAAATAGTGCACTTACTATGGAGGGTGATTTGGTTCAAAAACATTTTTGGTTACACTTTATTTCGATAGTCCACTTTAGACATTCTACTAACTACCATTTTTTGTTATGCTGGTAGAAAATCTCTTCACATCTGATAGTGATCACTAAGTTAAGTGGTCTAAATGTATTTTTATGTATTTATATCATCTGTGGAAGGCGTAGGACCATAAAATGTTCGTCCAATCAGATCCCTCGGTCCGAGGGCTAAGATAAGCTGTCCTACCTGCCTGTCAACGTATGTATTTGCATACCTCCTCGCACCCTGTTTGCGTAGACATGATACCTCATCATCGTGTTCCATTACGCTATTGCAGACCAAACGAGAATGGAAAACATTGCTATTGTAATATTATGCTCTTTGTACTGTAATGTTTTTTCACTCAATGAGACACTTTATATGTCACGATGTGACTTTATATCACATTGCAACTTCATATCATTTCTCAATCATGATTTGGTTCGACTAATTGCAACAATGTGTGTCTTTATATCTTACAATGTGACTTTGTTTCTTCTTACTCGTTATTTTTAACTCTGAAATGGTAACAGGTTTCCACTACACAATGTCAAAAGTATATCAACGAGGCTTAGATATTGTGTTTATATAGCTCCATGAAAAGTCAGTAAACCACAACTTTTGCTTCCCTTGTGAATAAAGTACACTACAGCATACTTTTAAAAAGAGTACTTACAGGAATAATACTTTAGTGTGAACTGAATGTAATGTTTTCGACATTTAACTGTATGTACTGTGTTATAGTTTACATTTATATTAAATGCAATTAGCTGAACTTTTCAGTGCTTTTTTGACCCATTTCAGTAGGACTTATGCACATCTTTATATGTGACCCTGGACCACAAAACAAGTCTTAAGTCGCTGGGGTATATTTGTAGCAATAGCCAAAAATACATTGTATGGGTCAAAATTATCGATTTTTCTTTTATGCCAAAAATCATTAGGATATTATGTAAAGATCATGTTCCATGCAGATATTTTGTAAATTTTGTAAAATATTTTTGTAAATTGAAGATTATGTAAATATATTGCTAAGAACTTCATTTGGACAACTTTACAGGCAATTTTCTCAATATTTAGATTTTTTTTTTGCACCCTCAGATTCCAGATTTTCAAATAGTTGGATCTCGGCCAAATATTGTCCTATCCTAACAAACCATTCATCAATGGAAAGCTTATTTATTCAGCTTTCAGAAGATGTATAAATCTCAATTTCGAAAAATTGACCCTTATGACTGGTTTAGTGGTCCAGGGTCACATATATAATTTCTTAATTACTTCTATTGTCTTTGATATATGGCTAAAATGTACTGCGAATGAACTAAGCATTTATAGTAAACTAAAATATAATACTTTGTAAATCATGTATTTATGCAAGTTTGGTAAAAAATTAACAGTAACACTTTATTTTAAGACACTTGTTACATGTACTTACTATTATAATAACAATTAATTATGCATAATTACATGCAAGCAACCCTAAAACAAATCCTAATCCTAACCCTAACCCAAGTACATGTAGGTAATTTATATTACTCAGTACTTAAATGTATAATTACACTGTAACAAGGATACAAAATAAAGTGTAACCAAATTAACTAGTGCCCTTTTATTTCATTAATATTATATTATCTGCAAATATAGTTCAATTATGACAACACTCGGAACATTTTAGAATGGTGATGGATATGACAATGTTAATGTATTTGGTCTTGGCGGAATAGATCTGCTCTGCTGCTGCTGCTGTTGGTTATTGCTGTAGTTGTAGATTATTGCTGCTGCTGCTGCAAGCAAGTACAGGAACTTGCTACTGCCAATGCATACGGCGAGTTTCATGACTGAAATATATATTTATTTTTTAAAATATACTTTAAAGATTTGAAGTACACTACAAGTGCACATTCAATACAGTTAAACACACGTCTTTTTCACAAGGGTTGATATGGACAAAGACACTGTTTACAGTGCCCATCTACCCAGAAATAGTAGTTTCATCAGAAGACAATATATATACATCTTTACAGCTCAGCTTTACAGCTTTACACTCAATTTCTTTGTGCAGACAAAAATAAGTGCTTTAGAAAAAATACACACTGCATAATTCTACTTGACTTCCAATGTAAGTGCATTACCATAAATTAGATTTCACTTCTTTTTACAAACCGATAGATAAGTTGAAGTCATTTTCTGTGGTATTTGAACATGCTTCTCATGCTTACAGAGTTTAACTTGTTTTGAACCCGGAATATCCCTTTAATGTTTTGGGGAAACTTAATGCACATCATAATAAATCACTTCATTTGTGCATCTAGACATCATGCTGTTCTCTAGCATGCAGTTATTTTTCATTCCTCATGTCATTTTTTAAAGCGGTTTCTTTGAAAAACACAATCCATTTTGCATCATAACATCGCAATTTACACAGTGAAGTTACTGCATCGTGTGTATGTGTGTGTACGTTTAGGTTTATTCATCTTACATTGGGTACAAGTTTGTCTTCAGAAGTTGGCTAAATTTGACAAACCCTCCCACTGGGAGCGTCCTCACAAGGTAAAATGACTCATAAATAAAATAAGTGTTTTATTTCCGGCATAGGGGTAGGGTTTGGGTTAGTGCTCATAATTATGTAAGCTTTATGTATAAATGATAAAATGTAAATGTGTTGTCATTTACCTGAGGTGTAACTCTAGTTGGGAGTACAGGAAGCGCAGCAGTGCTCGTCTGGTGGTGATTTCAGCGTGACAGTCATTGACCACCAGACCCTGGTCACTGATATACTCTCCATTAATGCATTTAGTGCCGGTCGATAGCGCCACCACTTGGGCCTGTCTCAGATCCAGACCTGATGAGCACAAACACACACAAACACATGTGACAGCTTCATAATATTGGATCCGACAGCAAATAAATGCAAATAAATACTGCAAATAAATTCCAGTTCACACCAAGAACGATAGATAACTATAGTGATAATTATATTGCCGTCCACACCAATGGATGATAATGTTCTGGCCATTACATGTGCACACTGCTGGTTTGTTATCTGACACTTTTAATGCTTGAGCAGAATTCTGATTGGCTGCCAATGTTTTTATCGTTCATGAGCTATAAAAAATCATTTTGAAAGTGATTCCATCTATATCATTCCACTGCATTATATTTGTGTTATAGAGTTATACAGTACCTCCGCTCCCTATTCGCAGAGGGGTTGGGTTGGGCATATATATATATATATATATATATATAGTGTTGGGTGTAATTAGTTACAGTAATTTCATTACTTTTCCCTTGAAAAAGTAAAGTAAGGGATTACTCTTATTTTTTCTGTAATTTAATTACTACTTCTTATGTAATTGAACTTATTACTGACTGTAGACTGTAGAACATTCATATACAATACAATAGTGGATTTAACATAAAAATGTAAAGTCTAACTTTAAAATGCATGCTTTTTATGTACACTTCTCAGTTTAAATACTGTGGCGAGTAAATAAGAATATTGGTAAAAATTTGGTGTCCAATTCTCACTATTAACTAGTTGGTTATTAGCATGAATATTACTGGGATATTGGCTGTTTATTATTACGTATTCTGCAAGACCTTGTTCTAAACACTTAATCCTACCCAATTCTTAAACTTAACAACTACTTTACTAAGTATTAATAAGCAGTAATTAGGAGTAAATTGAGGCAAAAGTCATAGCTAATAGTTAGTTAATAGTGAGAATTGGATTCTAATCTAAAGTGTGACCAGAATAATTTATGTAGTTATCTATTATTTATTTGAATTAAAAGAACTGTTTCATGTCTATCCTTGTATCATTAACTTGTCGAGGTTGATA